AAGTAAAATAGTTTTTCCAAACATCATACTTTTATTCCGTTATTCTATAATAAAATTCTATTTAATTGTGTGTTTGCATGCGTACGTATGATGGTACATGTTTCGTCATACATTAAATTCAATGAAAAATAAATATTATAAGTACTTTTTTTTTTTCAAAAAAAAAAAAAGTACTTTTTCTTGATTCTTTTACTATTTCATTTTATATTGGATTGCGTGTTTACATGTGAGAATTCATGTAATTTGCGGCCGCCGGAAGGATAAGTTAGAGAGTGGACAAGCTATGGGGTCAAAGATAACATTAAATTCCAATTTTAATGTTTATGAATTGGCCTATGACATATTGGCACCCTGACACAACATTTTGATTAAGGAAAACAAAGTTTTAGATTTGCTGACGGCATGTTCAACTAAGCTTTTTCGGATATATATTTACAAATATTTGGCACGTTTAGGTACATTATCCCTCTCTACGATAATGAACTGTAGTTTTTTTTTTTTTTTTTTTTCATTCAATCTACTTTTATTAGTTGAATATTGGTGTATTAGCATATAAGATAAGGGTTGGAATATTTTGACTGGCTATTTTAATTAAGTTGAACATCTTTTGAAAACATCTCGATTAATTTTCATGAGTTTCGGGAGTTATATATGATGACTAACTTTAATTTATTTTCGGATTAACTTCGTAACCTCATGATCAAATATTCATATCAAATACTAGATATGATTTTGAATTCAGATTAATAATTAATAATGCCATAATGTTAAACGCCTATTATGCAAGTTCCCGGTATATTCTAAGTTGTTGAGCAAAATTTTTACCCACAAAAATTCCATTCACTTTTTCTCCATACCTATTATATTATTCCAAAAATAAAGTTATGTGCCTAATTACATAAACAAAGCAGAATAAGAATGGAATTTTAAGTGAAGCGAGCTTAATAAGAACATAAAGTTATCATGGATGGAGGCCAAGATAAACATTAAAGTAGGAGGGTTTATTTTGTAACAAAGCATAAACTTGGAGTGCTTATTCGGAATTTAACCTAATTATAATACTATACGTGTATTGGAGAGTCAGTAGTCACTAGCTACCAAACAAATGGTAGATAATGTAAGTGTCAAATTCTAATTTGTCGCTGCCACTTCACATTATTTTCCTCAAAAACAACTTCATGATTAACCCATCTAATGCAGACATTTGGTCTAAGGTCGTCTAAACCTCCAATTGGATTAAGCCATCTTACATCATCTCATCATCACCAATCATACTTTGTTTGAATAATGGGGAATATCATATATATAACATGGAATGAACTAAAACCTTAATATATATTTTCAAACTTCATCTTTCATTTTAATTTCTTGTATACTTTCGAATATTGACGCCAATGATTTTTTCTTGTTATCTAAAAATATTTTTTTTTTAAATAACCATATTAAACTCTGTTCTAAAGAACTAGAATAATATTACTCATACTGAATAGACAATAGTTAATAATGAGAATATGACATTCCCATGATTTTCAATTTTTTCTAGTAGATATCACTTTCTTAGGGTTAACACTGGCAAATTAATTAGGTGTAGAATAGATTATATATTACATAAGACCTTTAATTTTTAAGTTCCAATTTTTTATATATACCAACATTTGATAATACACATTACACAATACAGCAAATTAGCGTTGAGATTGAAATTTCAATACGAGTATAATCTTATTATATGCTTACAAAATAAGTTTTAATCAATTAATATTACTTGTGTGTGTGTGTGTGTAAATGAGTTCAAATTAAATTATTATAAAAGTGTAATTAATTTTTGGGGACCAACTCTAGATTTATTAAAGCTATCATATATTGAGACATTGACATTTGAAGTCAAAGTAATTATTCCTTGTTTAATTTTTTTCTTATTTTACTTATTTTTAAGATTTTAAAATTTGATTGTTAATTTGTATTTATTAAAAATTTCGGCGTTGTTTCTACGTATATAATTTTTTTTTTTAAAAAAAACTATATATTATCATCTAATAAATAAATAAATTTATTAATAAAATGATACACATAAAATAAAATAAAACAAATAATAAAAGAATTGACAATCAAAGGATGGGCTCAGTCAGTACTCAGTAGTCGACCAAGTAGACAACGTTTAGGCCCCACCCTTAGGCTGAAAGTACAAACACAGCTTCCATGATAGATTCTGTCACATACAAATAGTTAATGTGTTTGACCTTAAACTTGAAAGGAATAAAATAAAATAAAATAAGAAATATATGGTTCGTTATAAAGTTATATAAATAAATACTTTTGAAATCATATGAATGGAGTGTCATGATTGAAAATGGATTAGTGGGGACGAAAAATTGACAAGAGATGTGCCCTTAGAAAAATTAAATATAATTAACTATATTGATTAGTTAATTGACAACATTATAAATCATTTTTTTTTTTTAAGTATTAGACACACCTCAATATGAAATAATAATTATTTGTCTCGTTATAAAATTTAACCATGATTTTACCTTGTTTAGTTAAAACTTAATACAACTAAATGAAATAATACCTTTTCAAAAAAAAAAAATGAAATAATACCGGATATCGAATACTAATAACCAGAGCACCAAAAGTAACATAATATTAATTATATAATAAGATTTTTTTAAAAAAAGTTAAAAATACTATATTATGATAGAATATTGTGTAACAACTTAACTCAAAACGTACAACACAATAACCCAAAGTCCAAGTCTGTCATATAGCATTAAAAAAACATGTAATGTAATGTGCATATGTTATTACTGCAACATAACAAGTGAGACATCACCTTAGAATCGTCACATATTAATTGTGTATAGCAACCAAGATGCTTAGTATTTGGAATAGTCCTAGTATAAATAGTAAGTTTTTTTCACATTATACATGGATTCGATTTCTTTCAATTGTATTGTTATGTTGCTATGTCAACTTCTAATAATTGTACTCTTGAGATCAAGAAAATAATTTAGTATTTTTTTTTAATAAAAGAGCTAATTCATTAATCATACGATGAAAAGTTTACAATAAGAGCGATGGAATGATAAAACATGTTTACAATCGGACATTGAAACAAATTTTCAATGCTACACGAAACTTGAATCTCTGACTGTTTTTCAAGATTGAAGTTGAATTCGTTTGGAGAACCTGTAGCTTCTTTGATATTGTTAATGATCTTGCTACCCATGTCTAACTCTATTGCGACTCTTTTGTCCATAGACAATATCTCAATTAATCTGAACTGCAAATCAATGTTCAAATCTTCTTCGGTGCTCGGGATGAAGCAAACATACTCCATTATCAGATAAATTGTTTCATTTTATGAAAAAAGAACTCGCCAAATAAACAAGAGGAAAACTCGCTAAAGACACGAGAGGAAATAACTCGCAATCGAAATGAGAGGGAATAACTTTAACAAAATAACATATGAAAATCAAATCTAAAACAGCCAAAACAAATCATGAACACCAAACTGCTGAAAAAATGTAAAGAAGCTTGGATATGGAGTTGGAGATGGCGAGGGACGGTGGTGAATGAGGAAGAAATGTTGGTGAGGGGCCGGAGGAGATGGTGGCGGTGGAAGAGAGGCGGGAAGAGGTGCCCCGGCAGCGGGATAGAAGCCGAAGGACAGGCGATTGAGAGACGGTCGGAGTAGGGGAAGAAACAAGAGGAGATCGGCGCCGCCTCCACAAAACGAGCGAAGACGGCGGCCGATCGATGGAGGATGAGGGAAAACCCTTGCAGAGAGAATATTAGGTTAGGGAGCGGTAAACAATTTAGTTAATAACATAAGCAGACCATACACCGTCTTATATTATTTAACTTCCATTATTTTTTTTCTAGTTTTGCTTACTGCAATGCTACCACACTTGCGCTGGTGAGACTCAATCACGGGTCATTATTCCTAAAAGTCATCAATGTGACAATTAAACTGTCCATTCGGGCATGTTCAAAAACGTACATGATGCGATTTGTATTTCTTATGAAAATTAATTAATTTTATCATAAATTAATAAATCAAATCACTTAAAGTAATTTAGTCATACCGATTCCATTAGAAAAAGTTTTAAATACAATCATACAGTATTTAAATTCAATATTGGGCGTTATGCAATGTATCTTTGTCCATTTGAGGAAATTAAACAAAAATAACAAAAAGAGGGTGGTACTTATACAGTATTTTATACTAATGTTGATGTATTTTATACAAAAATATAATTTGTTTTAATGATGGTAAATTAATGCTAGCATTAGCAAAGGTGTGACATTTGAAAGCGTTAAAGCCTTATCTCGTCTTTATCAATCTTTAATTGTTTGTGTGTTCAAACGGTGGTCCCCACCCCAACCCCCTCTTCCCCGGGACACGTTTCGCAATTCCTTGCGTTTTCACAAATGGCGCGTGTCCGTTACTTAAATGTCTAATTCTCAGTTGACGTCATCCCCAGCACTAATCACCACTTCCGCCACTAAACCTCGCAAGTTGTTATATCATATAATTTAATTTCCACTAACGTGGTATATGATGTTATATGTCTTTTTCTTTTCTCGTTATTATTAATTATGTAAATTATTGAAATAATGTGAAATTTTTGAAAACACCATTTTTTTTTTCTCTTGTTTATAAAATATTTATAGTTCCAAGTTTTTGAACATTATTTAATAACCAAGCACTTAAATTTATTTTTGGGATTCAGAACAATTTCTCTTTTCTTATTTATTTATTTATTTATTCTCTTCTAACGTCTAATTAGCAAGAGACACGTATGTAAGAACTCAGAAATGTTGAACGTCTTTTTTCAGTTATTAATGGGGAAGGGTTTTATAAACCAAATGACGGATGTACCCTCCACTGATGACATGGCAGCCCTTGATTGGTCTAAAGAGACTAGGTAAGATATGACATGTGTAGAGAATAAATCGTTCGTAAACCATATATATAAAACAAGGGGCTAGCCCACTCTAAGCTGACATTTCGGCTTCTTCGTTTCCGCTCTCCTCCCCTGCAAAATTTCCAGAAATCTTAAAAACTGCAAAAAAATTGAAAATAAATATATACGATCGTGGCTGATAGATTGTTAATTAAGCAATTGATCATCAAAGTGATATATTAATGGAGAGCACCGATTCATCGAGCGGGTCACAGCAACCTCAGCTGCCGCCGGGCTTCCGGTTCCACCCAACCGACGAGGAGCTCGTCGTCCACTACCTGAAGAAGAAGGTCGCCTCCGCTCCGATTCCGGTAGCTATCATAGCTGAAGTCGATCTCTACAAGTTTGACCCATGGGAGCTTCCAGGTAAGGATTTTTTTTTTTTTTTTTAATGTATATGTGTTGATGATTATATATATATATATATATATATATATATATGATATGATGGTTATCTATCAGCTAAGGCGACGTTTGGGGAGCAAGAATGGTATTTTTTTAGTCCGAGAGACAGGAAGTACCCTAATGGAGCTCGGCCAAACAGAGCAGCGACTTCCGGTTACTGGAAAGCGACGGGGACCGACAAGCCGGTGTTGACGGCGGGAGGGACGCAGAAAGTGGGGGTGAAGAAAGCGCTGGTTTTCTACGGCGGAAAGCCGCCCAAGGGAGTGAAGACTAATTGGATCATGCATGAATATAGGCTTGCAGATAACAAGACCTCTAACAAGCCTCCTGGGTTGGACATCGCCAATAGATCAAAAGGCGGGTCTTTAAGGGTGAGTTGTTCCAACGTTTTTCTTTGGATTTTCAGTCAACTTCGATCAATTCGTGGATTTTAATAATGTTTTTTTCTTATTAAAACTAACGAAAGCTCTGTCCTTTCTGACAGCTTGATGATTGGGTTTTGTGTCGTATTTACAAGAAGAACAACTCGCAAAGGCCTTTGGATCACGAGAGTGATGATCTGAACGATATGTTGCAGGGATCAATTCCGCCTTTTGTTACCCACCAGAAGATGGGATTAAAGCCCTCCAATTATGGCGCATTGCTCCAAACTGATCATCATCATCACCACCACCACATGTTCGACCAGGGCTTGGTTCCCGGCGACGCCTCACTCGGCGGCGCCCGAACGGCCCAACTGCCCTTTGTCCCGTCCACCCCCAATCTCCTCCCTACAAAGCGGAGCCTCCCGGGGCTATTCTGGAACGTCGACGACTCCTCCGCCAATAACCACCACCCCGCAGACGCCTCTCCTCCCACCAAGCGATTCCTCGCCGACAACAACGAAGCAAGCATTTCCAGAAGCGACGAGCAGAACGGGTCCATAGCCACTCTCCTCAGCCACCTCCCTCAAACCCCTTCACTGCACCAACAAACCATGTTGGGGGCTCTCAACGACGGCGTCTTCCGCCAACCCTACCAGGTTTCCGGCATCAATTGGTACTCTTAAACGCCCGTCCGTCCGTCCTCTTGCTCACAGTTTTACGCCACCGTGTATAGTAAATGTCCAAAGCCTGGGGGGAGACAAATATACATATATACATACATAAATACATATATATATATATATATATATATATATATATATATATATATAACTACATATAAATATATAATATATATATATATAAGGTTAAGTTTAGGCCTAATATCCTCCATCTCTACCGTAGCAGATCAGAGTTTTACATGTTGAAGCGGCTGAGCAGTTGCAGATTAGTGGTTGGATTATTGCAGGTACTGAACATCATACCATATCATATATCTATACTGATGATCGGAGGTTTAATTTTGTTGCTAATAAGCATGCTAGCTAGGGAAAGACTGGATGTGAAGAAGAATTATATTGTTAATTAGGTGGTGATAATAGGGTTGTCATTAGCCATTTTTAGGTGATCGAGTCCATATTTTCTATATTGTTTCTTATTTCACACATATATGCAAACACATATATTTTATTATAGCATTTCAACTACAACTCAACAATACTGTAATATATATATACTGTTGCTCTTATTTTAATTTGTATATCAGGGAATTATTGTACTGTGTGTAATATTTTTGCTCCTATTAACACTTCTCTTCTTCTTTTTTTTTTTTTTTTTTTTTTGTTTTTGTTTTTTTTTTTTGTTTTTTTTTTTGTTTTTTTTTTTTTTTGTATCTATATTTGTTTATGTATAGCTTTATATGTATGTATGTATGTGTATGCATAAAGGTGAGAGGTGATATTATCATGTATTTGTGGATGTAAAATTACTTTGGAGAAATGATAAGGTCATGATATTTACCATAATTGGATCATGGGATATATCCGGCCGGTAAAAATATAATATATACACATGCATGTTGATGTCAGTCTTTGTATGTTGTTGAGGGTAAGATGCATTTGGAAAAAAATTAAGATTTTTATGATCTTATTTCAGAAATTAAAACTCTTTTCTACACACAGACTTATTTCCTTTAACAATTTCTAAAATTTTCCCTTTCTTGTGTTTAATAAAAAATTGCATATAATTCCTAAATATATAAAAATCTTATTTATTAACACTTACTCCCTCCCATTATCAAATTAATTCTTTTTTTCTTTATTTTTTTCTTATAATTTTAAATTCATATATGTTCTTTGGTATTTAATAGTAATTTTTTAATTAATAATTTTTAAATATATGAATTTTATATATATTAACACCAAGCTAAATACTGTAAAAAGATTGAATTATAAAAAACTTGAGATATGGTGGAGCGAAGGAAGAATTGGAGCATATCTCTAAGAAGTGATAGATCACATAATTTAATTAGAGAATATGTTGATCTTGTTTTTGTATGATGGAGACAATTACAGATGATATCATCATATCAGGGAGGTATATGCGAGCTAGTTGTCGATTTACTAATTGGTGCAAGGATTACCAGATAAATTAAATTACTAATTTAATTACAACACTTTTTGATCAATAAAATTCCTGTTTACTAATTAATTACATTTTCCTTTTCTCCATCTATGAGTTAGGAGGAAAGGTGTGTGTGTGTATATATATATATATATATATATATATATATATATATATAATTAAGTTCTAGTGCGGGTGAATGTTTCCCGTGCGATTATGTGATTTTAATGTGCGTGAGTTTTGTACTTAATGTGCGTGAATTTGTGCTTAATGTGTGTAAGTTTTGTGCTTAAGGTGCGTGGGTGTGTACTTAATGTGAGTAGTGCTGAAACTTAAGGTGCATGAGTTTTGTGCTTAAGGTGCGTGTGTTTTGTACTTAATGTGCGTGAGATTTGTGTTCTTAATGTGTGTAGTTGTTGAAACATAAGGTGCATGAGTTTTGTGCTTAAAGTGCGTGAGTTTTGTGCTTAAGGTGCGTGAGTTTTGTACTTGATGTGCGTGCGTTTTGTGCTTAAGGTGCGTGAGTTTTGTACTTGAGGTGCGTGAGTTTGTGCTTAAGGTGCGTGTGTTTTGTACTTAATGTGCGTGAGATTTGTGTTCTTAATGTGAGTAGTTGTTGAAACTTAAGATGCATGAGTTTTGTGCTTAAGGTGCGTGAGTTTTGTGCTTAAGGTGCGTGGGGTTTGTGCTTAAGGTGCGTGAGTTTGTGTGCTTAATGTGCGTGTGTTGTGTACATAAAGTGCGTCAGTTTAATGCTTAATGTGCGCCCCGCACCTGATCTTTTCCCCATATATATGGAAGGGTTCAGGTACGAGAATGGCTTCCCGTGCGGTTGAGCGGTTGGACGCACCTTAGGCATCAAAATGACGCACATTAAGTATTAACTTCGCGCATCTTAGTTTACAACACTGACGCGCCTTAAGCATACGAATCACGCGCTTTAAGCACACAACACACGCACATTAAGCGCAAAACTCACGCACATTAAGCACAAAACTCACACATCTTAAGTTTCAACAACTACTCACATTAAGCACTAACCTCACGCACCTTAAACACAAACCCCACGCACCTTAAGTTTTAACAACTACTCACATTAAGCACACAACTCATGCACCTTATGCACAAACCTCACGCACTTTAAGCACAAATCACACGCACCTTAAGTACAAGCTATACGCACATTAAGCACAAAACTCACGCACATTAAGCCAAACCCAAGCACCTTAAATTTACTTAGATGCAAAAATTACCAAATTGCCACCACATTTTTTTTTTTTTAATTTTGGTAATCTTGAACGTTTAAGCAGGATCAATGGCTTAGATTTAATCTCACAACCGCATCTGGGTTGCCAATCACATTTAATTCGCGTTCGCACACACTTAATTTAATCTAGACCATTAAAAATATTAAATGAATGCACACAATTTGATCTCACGTTCTCATTAACAAGAGTTCAATAGTCATAGGACAAAAAGTGAAATTAAATCTTATCAAATATGTAATGCATGAAAAATATGACATCTACGGAGTATTTGAAAATGAGAGGTAAAAATTAAATGAACCCGGCCAATTATGTAGGTAGAAATGTTAGGATCACTGGATCAAGCACCACTATTATCGAATGTGCAGATTTTCGTATACCATCACATTTTTGAGAATTAGTAGTACTAGATTTGGCCATTAACTCTTTCAATTTTTGCCCAACAATTTTCCTAACGATCCGAAGTTGGTCTTGACCCCTCACCGATCCGTTAAGTCAAAATGAAATCCTCTTTCTGTGTTCACATTCTTCAACGTAACTTCCATACAATTCCCACCCGGTTATCACTAGTAGTATAGTAAGAAATAGCATTTGGTTTTGGACGTAGAAAAAGCAGGTAGGGGGTGCCTCAAAGTCTCCATCGCGAAAATGAAATCCCATCCGTCCTTTAACATAACCTAATCTACATTTATCTCTAATCTAATCATCGTTTCAAGGAATGCATGCCAGCCTATCTAGCTAGCTTTTATATATTCAATCTGTAAATTATCTCCTAAAATGGGAGGGAAGATTATTATCCTTCATTAATCAAAGTATGGTCGCGTTAAGTGTCATTATCTTTATAGTTTAGATAAGACATGGGTAAGTTTAAATATTCCATGGGTCACAGCTCTCTCTCACATGCATATATGTTGACAACAAGAGGCCACATGCACCATACCTCACACAATTCTTTGCTGACTTTAATTTGGACCTAGGTTTCGTTGTCAACAAAGGAATCCTTATCTTAAGAGTCACCAAATTTTTTTTTTCTGGGTGTTGTTAATCGCATGCTTTTAACAGGGAAAGAGTACAAAACAACCTTAAAAGGATTTCAATTCATTGGACCTTAATTTAGGAATTAATTTGATAATGCAATATTTTGTGGAAATATGTGTCGTCATTATTTATTCTCCGTTACGTTCTTGTATTCCGTTAGTGGTGACTAACTTTATCCGATCCATCCCAACCCTAACTAACTATCCAATTCCTTTGCATACCGTACCGCTGTATCAATTACCCAACAAAGGGTTTGTCGAGTTTGAAACATTAATGTTGCCTATATATCAATTCTTCAGTACAGTTTTCTTGATTTCATTTTACATGTAAATGCATTTTTCATTTTATTTTTTCTTCAATTTCTCATTTCTCTGAAAAACTGGACCGACAGCTCATCTAATCTAATTAGTATTATTTATAGATAGAGAAATTGAATTATATTTTCATGCTTACATATGCAGGGGGTCATGGATGAGTAAATAGAAAAATTGTTATTTTCCTTTCCTAATATAACATTGTTTGGCAAGAACTTTGTGCTCAAATGACGTACTCTACTTAAGGGAATGTCATAGCATCGAATCCCCGATGGTGGGGTACTACCTTTTATATATGCGAGCCAAATAGGAAATTTTTTTCATCCCAATTTGCGATTTTTCTGGTAGTGTTTCACTTGGGAAAGCTTTCGCACCAGATCCTTATATAGATCCTTATATATATATATATATATATATATATATATATATATATATATATATATATATATATATATATATATATATATATATATATATATATATATATATATAGGGAAGGGTTCAGGTGCGGGTATAGCTTCCCGTGCGGTTGCGCGGTTAGATCTGAGCTGTTGATCAAATTTAGATCAACGGCTCGAATCAATAAAAATTATAAAAAAAAAAAAAACGCGTGTCGGGAATAAGATAGCTCCTACACAGTGTCTACACAAACGATAGCGTCTACACAAATGATAGCGTCTACACACAGCGTCTACACATAGCGTCTACACAAATGATAGCGTGTGCACAACCTCACGCACATTAAGTACAAACCCCACACACATTAAGCACAGCCTTCACGCCCATTAAGCACAAACCCCACGCATTTTAAATATTAACTCACAGATTTTAAGTTTCAACATCTATTGACATTAAGCACAACCTCACGCACATTAAGTACAAACTCCACACACATTAAGCACAACCTCACGCACATTAAGCACAAACCCCACGCACTTTAATATATTAACTCACAGATTTTAAGTTTCAACAACTATTCACATTAAGCACAACCTCACGCACATTAAGTACAAACCCCACACACATTAAGCACAACCTCACGCACATTAAGCACAAACCCCACGCACATTAATCACAGATCCGCTCACCTTAATTTTGACCTACATGCAAAAATTACAAAATTGCCACCGCGTTTTTTTTAAAAAAAAATTTGATGTTTCTGGACGTTAATTTAAGCGAGATGAATGGTCCAGATTAAACCACACAACCGCACCTGGGCACCCTAACCGCACCAGAACCTAAATCTCTCTCTCTCTCTCTCTCTCTCTATATATATATATATATATATATATATATATATATATATATATATATATAGTTCGGTCTCATGAAAATCATGTCCTAGGAGAGAATTTGTGGACAAATCCAAATCATTGATATATTAAATTTAACAGTTAAAAATATAGAAAAAAAATGGAAAAAGAAAAGAAAAGAAGATATGGCCATTTTCATAAATATTACAATTTTCAAAAGTTTGTAATATTTATGAAAAATGGCCTAACTTTTTTTTTTTTTACATTATTTCTATCCATCAGATTTTGCATATCGATGATTTTGATTTGTTCACATGTTCTGGAGAGTTGTTCTCATATATATATATATATATATATATATATATATATATATATATATATATATATATATATATATATATATATATATATAATCAATACGATCTTTATAAGTCTCCTCCTCCTCCTGCTCCTGCTCCCGCTCCTGCTCCCCCTCCGAATCAAATTCAATGGGATCCCGAGAAACCATGTATTCATCCATAGGATCCCACGTACCCGGATCGATCAAAAGTTCAATTCTATCTGAACTACTCATTTTCAAATGATATCCACATTGTTCACAAATATTCATTTTTGATTTCAAAAATTTCTTATAATTTAATCCATAACAATTTTCGCATTGAAGCCACAAATCCCTATATTTTTTAGTTCGATCGAGATCATTAGAACTTTCTCTTTCATTCTCATTAGAACTTTCTCTTATAGTTAAATCAACACCCTTCGTATGAGTTCGTCTACTGGAACTCTCGCCTTCGTGGCTTTCACCATCACATACGGACCCATGAATGTCGTAACTGTCATTATCACTACCACTTACAGTGGTAGTATCTATACAGATTTGCGACTGAAGATAACTGTCAATGCAACCATTAATATGATTATTCCAACTATATTGAGCATCATACATATAACGATTATAGTAGGGATCTTCACTCGTAAATACATTAGTCAGATAGCTAGAATTCCGATCACTATAACTAGAAAAAGGTTCATTCAAAAAAGAATGATCGTTGTCAATCTCAAAAATCTAATTTTCAATATCAAAAACTACAAAAGTGTCATCGGAGATGAAATTCTCACTGTCTTTAACGCCGAATAAATGATCAACATTACTGCAACTAGAATTGTCACAATCCTCCCAACTCTGAATGTTTTTAACCGTATCTTTTCTATTCGGATCTTCACCGGTAGTTTCAATAGGACCAAGATTGCTATTTAGCCCACACCTGCGTTCGAACTCCTTCTGAAACGAATAAATTCTCCACTTTTCCATAGAGTTTTCTTACCCCTAATTTGCATGAAAATACAATAGAAAATACAATAGATGGAATAGTTGTTCGATCTTAAAATAAAAAATTTAGAAAAAAAATGATTTGAATATCTTGTTTCTTATCAGAATAAACATAGAAATCCAAGCACTAGGACTATTAACTAATTCTAATTAAAGGGTGTGAGTCTTGGGTATGGGTATTGTAATGGGGGTGCGTATTAAAAAAAGTTATATATATATATATATATATATATATATATATATATATATATATATATTTCCCTTCTTCCTCTTTAGATATGGAGACGAAGGGTCTTTCTTCAAACCATCTTCGTCTCCAAATCTAGTTACAAAAGAGGGAAGAAGAGGATGGTTGTCATCTTTCTCCTTTTTTTTTAATTTAATATTAATTATTATTATTATTATTAGAAAAAATGGCATGGCAGCTGCCACATAGGACGTTATCAGTGTTTATAGATTTTTGGGACTGAATGCACAAAAATTAGTTTTTTGATAAGCTTAATTGCAAGTTTTAATGTTTTGTTACCTAATTGACTTTTCATTTAATGTTCCAACTTTCAAGGTCTATTTGACCATTTGCCTTTCCTTTTTTTAGCACGATATTCTGACCTCACTGAAGTAAGAGGTACCGAAATCTTTTTCATAAATAGTATGTCCGGAGTATCTAAAAACATAATAAGCCTCAATTAAGATTATACCTTAGATTTATGTCCTTCTTTTTGTATGCAAATAAATGTGTACATTTTACTTTAAATGTTGTACATTTCAATATTATTAGACAAAACTACCCTTACATCGTTATAACGCCGTTAATTTTTAATTCTAACATTGATAACACATCATTATTACCATACACCTATATCTATCATATCTTTTCCTATTTTTTTAATTATCATTTTATTAAAATCATTATATATATTAATTTAATACTTAATTATATTTTAATTAAATTTCTATGAATAATAAATTATATGTGTGTGTAAAAAATACATATATTATTTGTGTATATATAATTTAAATTATAATTTTTAATTATTTATATTTATCAATGTTTTAATATTCGACATAAATGTTCGCGCATCATACAAAATATTAGTATTATAAATATGTGCAATACAGGCCATAAAATTAAAAATCAATATCTTATCATTTTAAAAACAAGTCACTTCAGTTATTTCAGTGACTAAATATATATATATATATATATATATATATATATATATATATATATATTTAATGATAATTAGGCGACAAATGAGGATTGCTTGAGGTTTTGCATCCAGAAAACGTTTGAAAGACTCATAATCAGAATGCGAAAGGTGACTATATATATAAAGATGGCAAATTTTACCGCGTAGTCTAAAACGGTGCCGTTTCTTTTAATAAAAAGAAACACACTCATTCCGCGTAATTAACCATGTTTGTATAACATATTTAATTTCATTTTATATGCATTGTAGTTTCATTTAAGTACAACTACAGTTTCATTTTGTTTCAACTAGAGTTTCATTCGATATTATACATACAATAGTCTTATTTCGTTGAAACATGTTATCGAATATCATTTCATACACATTGTTGTCTTATTACAACACTGAGTTATAATTCTAATTCAAGTACGGTTTTATTGGACAATATAATATACACTCAAATATGTGAAACTGTTATTCAGTTTCATTTTATATACATTGTAGTTTCATTACAACACAACTACAATATCATTTTGTTATAACTACAGTTTCATTTGACAAAATACACTCAATATGTGAGACATGTTATTTAGTTTCTTTTTACACATACTGTAGTTTCATTTCAGTAAAACTAAAGTATCATTTCTATTCAACTACAGTTCTATTTGACAATATACACTCAATATGTGAGACATGTTATTCAGTTCCATTTTATACATATTGCAGTTTTATTTCAACACAACTAAAATATTATTTCAATTCAATTACAATTTCATTTGATAATATAAACACAATATGCGAGACAAATTCATTTTAGATACATTAATGCAATTTCATTTTGTACAAACACACAAAAATACGGAATTTATTAAAAAGTAACGGCCATTTTCGGACCATGTTCCACAATATAAAAACCGTATAAAGATTTGTTAGATTGCATGCCAAATCGGGCCAATAGGCAACAAAAGTTAATATAGCCCATTATCCACCAGCCCAATGTTTATCTGTCAAAGTTGGTTTTGTTAGTCCACAATTAGTTGACCATCGTACCTATTAGGGTGACTAGGTCAGGTGGCCATTCCAATTTAATTTTTTAAAATTCAAACTAAAATCTGTTAACTAAAATACAAGCCCCAATCAAATCATAAATGAAATTGTATATATAGAGAGAGACCTTTCAATATGAATAAGTTTGGCATAAAATTATCAGTAATACTTTTTAATAAAAATCATAAAATTACACTTTCGTTGTAACCATCTCCGTACAACTTAGTATGTAACAGAAACCAATACATTTTTTTTTTTAAACTTTTTGCTTAGCATTTATAATTGTATGTCTTTGTTTTATCATTACTCTTTTTTTTTCTTTTTTTTAAAAACTATCATTACTCTTTAATTTGTTACATAAAGTGTATTATTGTGAGATTTGTGCTAAGATGACACTTCTTTCTTTCTCCTTGAGGAAGGTCATAGGATCGATCCCGATAGTAGATTATTGACTCTTTAGGCTGTACCAAATAAAGAAAGACGAAACTGGAAACAAAATTTTATTTTTTGAGACTTGAGTGTGTAAACAAAATTTTCTTTTTTGTTTTAGTTGTATGCATACGATAACATTTAAAGTAGGCGTGTTCATAAAGAAAATTTTGAAGAGTTCACCAAAATAGAGTAATATTAAGAAAAAAAAAAGTGTAAAGTAAAATTAGTGATTGGATTTATTAGAAATTTAATTAATGATTATCAATTCCACTATGATTAAGGCATGCTAAGCTGGTAAGCAAATTCCTGGCAGGCACACGTGATGTGTGGAACGGGTCAAATTAAAGATCAAACTACGAAAACGTCTGGAACAAGCAAAAAAAAAAATTATAAGTCAAAGTATTCTTATTCCTACCTTTAGCGTGATGACAACTAAAAAATTTCCGAAGAAGAAGTCAACAGTCAACAATCAACACACACATTATTATTAATTTATTATCTCACTATAAAAGCCTTAAGCCTCCCAAAACCACTTACCCGCCATCGCCTGTTTCCTCAAGCTTCCTTCCATCAATTTTCTCCTTCTTCTTGATTCTTGAATACAAAGCTGGAATGAGTCCTTTAGCCGTGGAAAGGCATCCACTTTCGCAGGCGCCCACCGCCAGGAGCAGGATGCTTCAGAGGAACTGTAGCTGCCGGAGTGGTTTTCCGGCGACGTCCCCCAAGTCTCATCATCATGCGAGGTCCGGCGTGAGAGGAGGTCGACAAGGACAAGGGATTGTGCCATCTCATAGCAGGCTCAGCCGACGGCTAGCCAACAAAGAGATCATTAGAAGAGCGTTAACACCTCCAGCTCGTCGCCCCACCTTGCGGTGGCTGGATTTTAAGCCAACTCCCAGCCGCCTCTGTAACATGTCTGATTCACACACCTCATTACTTGCTTTATCGTAATTCCTAACAATTGATATCAGAGCATCAGAAATGCTCAATTGTCCAGTGTATAATCTTTTTCTTTTTCAATTTTTTAAGAGCTGTGCCTTTAACTAATAATGCAAAGATTATTATATATAGTTGCATTCTTCAATTCACATACAGCAATACAGTTGATATTACAGTTGAGATAAATAGTACAGAAACCATTTATAGTCATTTCTCTTAATCTTATACCATAAATCATTAGTACAGTGGAAAAGTTGGCTACTATCCAGGGGAAGGGGAAGGGGAGTGTGATGGTGAATTGAGATTTTACAAACTCTCTTTTGGTAGAACGAGGCGATCTTGGCCTTCCACGAGCTTTGCAGATCGAATCACATCTCCAGTTTTAATCTGAGAAAGAATTTCTCTTCCAGCAGTGGTATATCTACACACCAACCAAAAGAAAAAAAAAAAATTTATGATTGCCAGTGTCGAAATTCAAACCACCTGAATGAAAGGTTTGAAGAGCATATATACCCGAAGACAGAAAATTGACCTTCTTCAAAAGATATGCCTCCTAGGCCAGACTGTTACGAAAGTTAGTTCATTATTATAATTTGTATACGAGAATGAGCTACTAACAATAATGGTAGGATGCAGGCAGGCATGATTGGAGTAATAGACGCAACAATATCACTTACATTTCTCTTGTCATAAAGATAAAAGAAAAACTGGCTTGGTGATGAGTACTCCTCGGAAACATCACTGTGTGCCATGGCAACTGCACCATAAACTGATAACGGAAGCACAGGAAGCTCCCCATCCTTAGACACAAAACAAGTTCATATTCAGACAAATAAAGGGAAACGAAAAGAGGGTATCTTGCTGCTACCCTTTTATATACTTAACGAGTTAATAGACCTACCTGCACACTCAAAGTTGTTTTGTATAGTGGCTCAAACTGCCCAGACGGCATGATCTCTAAGGGAACGCTATATCCAATGTCCTTCCCCAACCTGCTTTCTGTAAGAATTGCTTGATTGGCACAGTTGAGCTTCACACCATCATACGCACCATCAATCACCTGCACTTGATTATGTTGCTTTTCAAGTCATTCAATATATAAGCGGAACTAGTTAGGACTTAAGATGAAGTGAGATTTCACTACCTTACCAGTTTTGCAAAGTTTCCTGCTGTCAGTGGTGCTGAATACCCGTCTAAAACAACCTGAATAAATGTCATTATTATGTATCAGTTTTTGCCTCTCCTTGAAAATCAGACGCTATCAAACAAAAACGAACAAATTCATTCAGGAAATGGTTTATTTTGAAATCAGATAAATAGGCAACATAAAATAAAATGATGATAAAATTCATAGCTTTAACTAGAAAGCGGCAACAAGGATGGGAAACAAATATTAGCTTCACATCATGAGAAAACTTTAAATGCTGATATAGTACACCAGGGTGATTTGAATTGCATTATGAAAAAGTTAGCTGGGTGAGGATGGGTTGTAATCTGGTTACTATGAAGCAAAATTCTTCCATCATATTCAAGAACGGAGAGAGAGGAAGTAGTTGTTTGTGAGGCCATGCAGCCACTACCTGAATTTTTGTGATGCTCTTTCCTTCACCACCAGATTCTGGAGAAAACAATGAACCATCTCCCTTCTCAACTGTGAATTCGACCATTCCTCTTCCTGTGAGCCTAAGAAATTCAGTAGAACATTGTGACACACCTACTTTTCTCATGTAACACCATAAGTAGGCATCTACCACGGTTTGCCAATGAGTGGGAAAATGCAGAGCGAAACCATATAGACGTAGTTTCTCAAAGCTTTACCTTGGATAGTTCAAGTACTGTTCAGGCAACAAAAATGATAGCCCTGAAGCCTGTCACAAATACATCCTTGAGATATTAATACCACAGTCAATATATGAAGTTCGTTCAGGGACAAGAGAGTCTGTGAGACCACAATTATGGTAACTATTTATTTGGTCATTGGAACACTTCTTAAAGGACACAAATATATACCTGTAATAACTCCAACTGTGCAACAGTATCTAGTGAAGATGCAAGACCTACTGAGACCTTATCCGGATCCTTATCCTTTATCGACTCTATAAGGCTTTGCAATCCACCCTGACCATCAAGCGAAATGCCATTGTCATTATAGTGGTCTCTGCATATGTAGATAGTCGATGAAACTTCTAGTCTAGATTTTTATTAAATGCATACAAGACCGACTAATAACTGATCGTAAACTAAATACCCCCAACCAAAGAAGCTAAATCTTGTCTAGATTACCTTGCCATCAATTAGAGATGCATATAAGACAGAACCATTTTCTCTCAAGTCAATGGGTATACTACCCAATATGGCTTCCTTTTCATCGGTTGCAATCTGAAATGTGAGAGGAAAAAAAAAATGATTTGAACAATCAAATTTAGAATACAACCATTTCTAATCATCACTATTAATGTGCCAAAACCTAACATGCCAGCTTAAGCACAAAGTAAAACACATTCCAAAATCAAAGAGATGTCAGCGATGGGATATTAAAGATCATGATGGGCCCAGCCTTCCTGGTAGGAAACTTGTGGCAGCAGTTGTGCACTTTGTCATTTGACAGTTTGAACTAGATCTTAGATTATATTTTATTTGGTGCCCTATGCTCCTCCTTGACTACTCTTTTTATGACATTTAAGAGAAGAAACGCATTATAAATTGCTGCCCTTTTACATGGTTAGATGGCCACCCCACATGTGGTAGAGAGGATAGTGTCTTTGGTAGTAAGATCTCCCTCAAGCCTCAAGGGATCTAGTAACTTGGAGTTCTTGGCTCATTTGTTTGCCTCAGTTATTTATAAGAAAATTACGTCTTACCTTAAGAGCTTTCTTCACATTACCCTCCATTGTTCCGAATGGTTTTCTCTGTGGAATCCTTAGCAAGTATGAAATGTCCTCAAGGGATTCCTATGCCAAAGAGAGAGTGTCAGAGAGAGAGAGAGAGAGAGAGAGAGGAACTTCAATTAAAATTGTTAAATAATAATAAAAATTACAAATTATTATTTAAATGAACAAAACTAGGTGAGCAGATAAAATAGTGACAAACCTGAATAGCTTTCATACTGGTGTTTGCTGGGATAGCTCTTCTCAGAGCCAATTCACCTGTTCTAGGAAGTTTTGTCTCTGGGGAATAAAGTACTGCCTCCGCAGGTGAAACATCCCATGATTCCCAACCAGACAATGGAACTGGACATGCAACTTGAACAAATATAATGAACACAGCTATTGCTGTCTCAAGTCGTTTCATTCCATGTTCCAAAAACCTTGACAAACTGGAGACTGTAGTAAGTCTTTTTGTCAAATCCTGCATAACTGAAAACTCATTTCAGTAGCCGGAAGAAAAAGAAAAATTGTATTTTCTAGTGTTCCACTCATCCTGGATATGGCATTCTGTGTATTTAGTGGGCAAATTGAGTTAAATGCTGCTGAAAAGAATGCAATATCAATATTTTTTTTTATGCAGACTAGTAATCAAGTCTAAGAACTACCCGAAGCACCAATGGATGGATATAAACGGCCAACTGTTTTAACAACCTAGTAGACCATATATAAAAGCAATAATTCTAAGAATTGTTTGAAATTTCCCAATGTAGCCTGCACGGAGACAGTCAAAATGAATGAAGTCTCAAACAAGATCAAACCTTTGAAGAGGAATCAAGTGCAGAACAGACTCAACTAACTAAAAACCCCAATAGAACCAAACAGATAAAGAACAAATGGAATTCCAACATATATTAATAACTACAAGTCTAATTGTCTGAGGCCACAGTAAATAAACAATTCCACATACAAGTAGTCGGCATTGCAGCATAGACAAGGAATTATTTGAATCCGACTAACCAATGAAGGATCCATTTTCGCAAGAAGAAGCGTAAGCCCATGATGATTTGGTCTTGCGGAGGTTGTTCTTCTACAGAGAGGGCCGATGCAATGAGTGGAGAAAAAGGCGCGTTTTTGGAGAGAAGGCGAGAAGGAGACTCTGAGAAGAGCTGCGTTGTGAGAGATGAAGGAACAGACTGAAGGGTGCGCCATGGAAGAAGAGAGTGGTCGGTAGTTGCTAGGATTTTGACGCGCCTCATCCAAACTCTATCCTTTCTCGCGCATTTTATTTTTATACGCACTTCTGTTCTGTGGTGTAAGGAAGAAGAACGTAGTTATTCAATCCGCATATATTTTTATTTCAAGATGATTGCACTTAACAAGCATGATCAATCTTGTTTTAAAAGACACTTGTAATTATTTTCCTATTTTATTTCGTTACAACACAAATTATAGTGTTTAGTTGGAGGAAATGGCAATTCCTTTCTTTTGTTGAATTGTAATTTTGAGTTGTATTATACAAGCTAAGCTTGCTAATAAAATAACAAACTATTTTGAGTAAGTAATTGTTTTCTTTTTTTTTTTGTGTATTATTTAATTACAACTCTCAAAATTATAAGTATCTTGTTGTGTTGATATGCAATTTAGTAATGTCACTAATCTGAATGTTAGAGCATCCACATCAGTGGTTATTGTGGAGCTATTGTCAGATGAATTATCTTGGGTGAGGTTAATAACAAATGTGGGGTGGGATTATTTTACAAGATATTTGTTCTGCAAATGTGGAGATAATGTCAGCAAAGAAAGAAAAAGTAAAAAGAAGAAGTTAACAATGGTTGTGCGCGTTTGCGCACAGCACATGCTACACGGGTACCGCCGTGTGGCGCGTCAGGCCTGACGCAACTGCTTTTTATTATATATTTTTTATTTTAATTTTTGTTATTATTTTTTTCTTTTTTGTTTTTCTCCCTTCTCACATTCTCTCTCCTAATCAATCTTACATTATCTCACAATTCTCCCCAACCATTGTGGATGCTCTTAGTATGCATGGATATTTGATGATCAGGTAATAGTTATTATCCCTAACAAAGGAAGAAAAAAAAATCAAAAGGAATAACATCTTTAAATGGAAAAGTTAAAATGAATTTTCTACTTTTTTCATACATTTAATTTCGCTATAAAAAAAAAAAAAAAGGAAAATGGCACTTTTTCCTCCTAAGTTATATACTTATAGCCATTTTTCCTCCTCAATTATTTAGGTAAGCACATTAGCCCCCTCAATTATTCTAAAAGTGGTGATTTTTCCCCCTTGATATATTAAATTGACATTTCTACCCTTAAAATGAACATTTTATTTATTTTACTTCTGCAACAAATTATCGCGTATACGTAGGGATGACCACGGTTCAGATCAAACTGAACCAGACACTATAGCAATTGAATTAAAAGTTTCCGGTTATGATTCAGATCTAGAACCTAATATTTGGATTTCAATTTATTAAAATTATGAATAAAAAAAATTGGATCTTGAACCGTGAATCGGCGGTTCTGGATCCGGTTCGCAATTTTGAACCGTCTTTATTTTAAAATTTTATTTTTTATTTTAAATAGTCTAAATTCAACAACAAATATATTTTATTTTTTCAGTTCGGTACATGAATCGTCCGTTCCGGTTCGTAATTTTAATAAACTCTAACTATCGAGTTTCGATTCTAAATTGTAATTGGAATATTTCGGTTTGGTTGCTATAGTGTTTGTTTGGTTTGAACCAAATTATTGTCATAATTTGTTGGAGAAGGAAAATAAATGAAATATTTATTTTAAAGGTAAATATGTCCATTTAACATTTCAGGGAGAAAAACAGCCACTTAAATAATTCAGGGGGAGAAGATGCTATAAGTATATAACTTAGGGGGAAGAAGTGTCATTTTCCCAAAAAATAATTGATTTCTGGCATAATGAAATTGAAAACTTTAAAAAAAATGTCGCTAAAAGCATTACTGACATACTTATTGCGTATTTACGTTGTCGAAAAATATATTACTAAATTAATTTTTTAAAAAAGAAAATCAATATTTTCCGACAATCCAATTTTCGTTGAAAAAATATGTCAAAACCTATTGATCGGGAAAAGTCAAATATTTATGACATACTAGTGCCTACATATGCAATCTCTTGGATATGCCCAAAAAATAAATAAATACATAAATCCATGGCTTCATTTTCCGATAGCCATAGCCCCATGTTTCTGGGTTCTTTTTGGACCTAGAAACATGGGAAGTTCTTCTGGGCTTGAATAAATTAAACCCAGAAACTTTTTTTTTCAGACAGAACCTATAAGAAATAAACCAATTCTTCTTCTTTTTCTTTATGAATTTTGATTTTATCAACTTCCAGTATGTCCACTAGACATTGGTATTTTTTTTTTTTAAATTGCCGCCAATTATGTTTAAAACAAAATTCGCATTAAGTGTAATACTACTTGTCTACTTGTGACCTCTATTTAGGAGAGTCATACTCGCCGCTCGATCACAAGGTCTTTGGCATACTTTCTATAGTTGTATGATATTTATATGCATATTATTATGCCCTTTCATGCTTTGTTGTAGAGTTCGTTGGCATCCCTCTTGAAATTCTTCGCCACCTAATTTCTGAACATGCTCGGATGCAGAACTTATTCATGGCTTTGCGGCTTGCGCTCCTAGTCACAATCTGGAATTTCATTTCTCATGTTTGCTTCAGCTATCTCCATTGGGCGTGCACCAACTCTAAAACGTCTTATAATCTACGAAGTGTTTGAAACCAGATTCGCCAAAAACTTTGAACTAGGCAACCACTGAGCGCATCCATTCTGTTAATTTTAGATGTGCAGAGTGTCGATAGTGCTATCACTCACCAACCTTTCACGAGCACACAAGGGAGAGCTTGAATGGTATTGCAAAGCCAAGAGAAGCTGTTGATTTAGTTTTTAGATCAGCAACCGCGATGATAGTGGTGAGGATGAGGAGGGAGAGAGTAGCGCGCGATTTTCTCTGGGTTTAAATAAATCAACAATAAAACAAGTCATCAAATTATTTTTATTCAAATTTCATGTCAACAATATGGAAAGGTTACTTGATAAAAATCTGGAGAAAATGCTAAGCGAACACAATTTTAAAAGTAAATTTAGCCAATTAGATCTTATTTTAGAACAAGCGGTTTATCGAGCACTTGTGAGTGATAAATGAGACTATTTGACACTCCTGCCAATAAAACTTAAAGTGTTGTTTGTTGGAAAGTGCGTCAGTATATTCTTTTTTCAAAAAATGTTTTATTTTCCACCTAAATTTCTCTTCCATTATTTTACGATGTGGCTTCCATTCATTAGTTGCCCATGAATGGTAACCCATCGGCCATCACTAATTAAAAGTAACATTTAGTTACAAATTAAATATTGCTATGCCATGAGGGATGGATTGGAGGCTGGGGAGAAATATGAGGGGTTCAACATTAATTTTTTTTTAATTGTCAATTATTTTTAAAATAAAATTTAAATTAGAGATATATCTGTATGTCAAAAAATATGTTGGTATTTTTTCACTTGAATAAATAAATAAATACAAAAATATTTTCAATGAACTGGTTCTTCAGAAAGTATATCAGAAGTTCAGAACTATTTTTCAATATCAATATTACATTTAAAAAAAAAAACAAATTTTCCATATTACCAACATAAATATTGCTGTCTTTTGAAGTACGTCAGGATTTTTTTTTTTTTTTTTTCAAAATTCAATCAAGTTGTTAAACGTCACTAATTAACGTCAAAGAAGTATGGCAGTAAACGTTTGTTTTCGAATAGTATTTAATATCTTCTACTATAAATGTTGTTATTGTCTATTGATTTTACTCAAATACTTTTATATGATGGGAAAAAAGGAATGATTGTATTGTTTAGGGTGCTTGTTTATTTTTCTTGTGTAGCTATATCATCATATTCTTTTAGATAAAATAGTTATGTGAATTTTCAATATTATTTCATATAAAGTTTGGTTCCTATTGAAATACTCTTTTGGTATTCAAAAAAAAAAAAAAAAAAAAAAAAAGGAAAAAATTGAAATTTGAAAGGGTATTGTCTATATTTAGTATAAATGTATACTTCATACATTAATATTAATTTAAACTTTTAGTTGAGATGTAACGTATTATTTAATTTGATGTAATTCAAGGAAATGTTTGGCACACTAACTATATATGTACGTGTGTTTTATTTGCTTATGCAACAGAATGTATTGAATTGGTGTTATTTGAAGTAATTTGAATGATGGTTTCTTTTCGACTAAAAATTTAAATTAATAATTGAATTATACATTTATAATGTATAAATTGACTAAATGCTTAATGTGTCCCTTCATGTGTGGAGCCAAATTTCTTTCCTTTTGATTGATTCTAATACAAGAATGTGCTCTACTTTAACTAATTAAATATCTAAACTACTAATTAAATTGCGGTATTTATATTTATATAGCATATGTTTGACATGGATGAATACAAACTTTAATTAGTAACTATGGATCGGAGGAAAAGGAGTCATGTTTTGCTTTTTACAGAACAAAATTTTTAACTTTGTTAATTATTTGACTAATCTAGTCGAGTTTTGATCATGCTAGCTATATTTTGGACAGCTCTCAGTTCCTCATATTTAAGCAAGTGACATTCCTATTTAAGTTGATGCATTAAAAAAATTAAAACTCAATCCCAAATAATACTATCAGTCATATAAAGACAACGTATAAATTACTGCCTTTAGGACTCAAACCTTAAGCAATATGGATTAACATAACTCATGTCCAAACAAGTTCAAATTTTTATGTTCTCCAAATATTGTGTGTTCTAGAAATATAAAATGGAATTGCTACAGGGAAAAAATATTTTGAAGTTTCCAAAACAGATCAGAGAAATCCATGCTAAAATGAGTATAGTATATAGAAATACAGATGGAAAAAAGAAAGTTACACAGTAAAAAAAAAAAAGGAAGGAAAATAGGTCCCACCGAGATTTGAACTCGGGTTATTGGATTCAGAGTCCAATGTCCTGACCACTAGACCATGGGACCACTTATCCATTATGGGCTAAGTATTTACTATAGTAGGGGTAGGAGAAAAATATCAGAATTTGGAGTCTCAATCAACACCCTCTGCCCACCCCACTAGTGTTTAGAGGAATGGATGAAATTTGAACTTAGAGCTGAAACATCATTCACATCTACCAAACTTTTCCCCTTCATTCAAAACACAACCCATCTTATAGCTTTGACACTTTGGCCCATACCCTAACCTTTTTATTG